GGGCTTGTGCAGCTGACTGGAGTCAGTTTGGAGTTATATTAAGGAGGAAGATTTCAAACTACACCTCATGACTTTTTTCTTTTAATCAAGTGAGATGTTGAGTGCCAGCAAGGTAAGCCTCCCCAAGCTACAAGGTCTGCCTTTGATGTGTGAAGGGATACCAGGCCATGCTACATCCCTGCAAATAAGAAACACATCCTGTGGCAACTGAAGTGGGTAGCTACCGGACCAAGAAATTATGGAAAAGGTGCAATTACACCATTGGTTCTGTTTTTTGTAAGTGGGATGATATGGGGAGATGTCTCTCCTGATAGTTTCTTTTTCTCTTGTAATTTTGGGTCTTTCACCTTCTTCCCATTTCAGACGGTAATAAAACCTTACACAAAAGTCCATTTTTACAGAGTTGAGAATTTTTACCTCCTGGAGTTCAAGTGCTGCATGCAGAAGCTTCTGGGTCCATTAGTCCCAAGCATCGGACAGGTTGCACTTGCATTTGCCTTTAGGATTGTCATCTCTCACACTGGGGGTGGAATTGTCAGTTATTAGCCAGACATCTGTAGGCAACCCTACTAGAAAGGTGCAGAAGGGGTCATCAGGGCTAACAACAGGCACAGGGTGTCTTGTTTCATGGCTTTTGCTAGAGGTATCCATATGTTGTGCTTTGGTTGTGGAGCTACCCATCCACTCGTGAGGAGCACGGTTGCAAACAGGCTGAGGAAGGTGAGTAGAAGCTTCTTATGTGTCATCTTCAAAAGAATTGTCTAGTCCAGGTACTAGAGTCGCTGTCTGGTGGTTTTTGTCCTGGGGTGGACTTGGGGGTTCCTTTGGTGAATCCACGCTCAGTGGCTGCAGGTAGGGCTTGATGTTCTTAGCTGGGACACACGAAGGTCCTTTACCATGAATGGTCTTGTTGTAGCAGTTTGGTCTTCAGGTCCTTTGATGTTGAAGAGTTCTGCACTTTGGAAACTATCACTGTCACCTCTGATCCTGGACAATGTTCCCGCATTAGCTCTGAGCACCCAGTTAGGAGGCCACTTGGAACGTGAGATACTTGTCACATCTGCTCCCATGTCCACAAGCCCTATCAAAACAATATGTTCATTGGTAAGTTCCAGAGTGCAGGCGATTTTTGGTTGATCATGACTTATCACCTGGGTCCACATCACTAGTGAAGCGTCACCAGCATCCATTTCAAGGAGTAATATGGCTTGGGCAATTGTTAGTTGTTGGGGTGTAAAACAAGGTGGGTCAGGAGACAGGTCCAACACTGTAATTTCTTTTTGTGAGACGACTGAGAGTACAGATGACAGTGTGAAAAATCCATCAGTCCTTGATCAGCAGTTTCCAAAGATTAATAGTTCACCAATCTTCAGGCCCCATCTGTCCTGTGGATATTGCATGGACAAAATAGTCAGTTAAAACTATTACAAGCAATGCAGACTTTGCACTCACCAACTCCTATTTTGCGCCTGGTGATAAGGTGTTTGGCAACTGGGAGATGAGGTGCTGGACTTCAGTGCTATGGGATCTGTCAGGGATGTTTGTGTTATTTGACCCTCGGTGATTGTAGGCATCATCACCTTCAACATTTGTGTCATAGCGTGAGGCCACCTTGCACTCAGGTGGTATTTTTTTGATGGCTGCTTGGTGTAGTTACCTTTTTAGAAATTCCGCTTAATTTGATGTTGATTTCCATTAGGGAGTGGATACCCCCCTCCCCTGGTGACAATCTTTTCTAAAATGTCTTTGTTGACCATACTGGAAGCATATTTTGGTAGATGTTGCTGGGGTCCTGTAGATGTTGCTGGGGTCCCTTAAAGGGGGAATTGCATGGCCACTAGGGCCTCTGTAACTCCTTGCCCAATGGCCTGGGCTTGTACGGCCGCTACATGTTCTGTTGTCCTGAGGCAATTACAGCCTCAATCATCGGCAAGATTGTGGGTTCTGGCTCTAGTGGAAGGGCATGCAGCCCTTTCTTACATTCCGGGTTGGCATTGGCTACCCCTAATGAGTTTAGTAATTAATTTTGAGTCTTTTCATCCCAGACTTGTTTCTCTAGTGCCTGTTTAAGGTGATCAATAAATTTCATGTAAGGGTCTCCAGGTTCTTGACTTATGTTTACATAGTCCAAACTGGGGGTGCTACCATCCGGTACCTGGATTAAAGCTTTCAAAGCCATCTCTTTTGTATCATCCAGTACTTCTCTGGGGATACCTGCTGCTTGATCATCTGGCAGGCTGTGGTGTTATTTTCCAGCTAGATGGTTGATTGTCAATTCCACCCTTGCCTCATTATAAGCATAGTCTGCTACAAATTGATTTAGTAAACACTTCCATCTCCCTTCCCACACGGTATATTCTGTAGGTGACAACAACATAGCCATAATATATTTTAAATCGTAGGGGGTTAAGACATGTGCTGTAAACATTGGCCCTCATTAGGCTGTTAAAATAAGGTGAGTCCCTCCCATGCTCATTAGCTGCCCTGTGGAAGCCCAGGGCACCAGGAATATTTCTCTCTCTGCTCTGCCATGTCCTGATCCCCAGGGGAGCACTGACTTTGACCCTGATTCATGGAGAAAGTTTTCTAGAATTCAAGATAGATTAGAGTCTACAAAAGTGTGAAATAGATTATAGAGAGTAGTGTAGGTGCATCACTTGCTGAGAAATTTAGGTTTTGGGATTTTTAGTATGTTGTGGGTGGAAGCAAGATGGAGGGCACAGGGTGTTGTCCTGGGTTTCTTCTTCATGCTTCTTCTTCCTTCTTCTTCATGGGTTTGGGTGGCATTTTGTAATTGGGCAGAAAAGTCTGCGTTGCAGGCCCTTTGGGAGCAGTTATTGGGTTAAAAGGGAACATAATCTAGGTGTCAGTTCTTAATTGAATAGTTTCATCTTAAAAGACCTTGTAACAAGAGATTGTTGGCCATTTTTTGCCTTCTAATGAAAAGCTGCTGAACTCACAGTAGTGAGACTGTTTTACAGATAAGAAATAATAAACACTTGAGTCTGAACATGAACTACTGTCTCAAGTGCTTTCAATCCAGACACAGAGAAACCAACAACTGGGACCCCCACACTGAGGAATGGCCTTACGAGTGTGGGGAATGTGGGAAGAGCTTCAGCTGCAGGTCCCACTTGATCTGCCACTGGAGGATCCACACTGGGGAACAGCCATACAAATGTGAGGATTGTAGGATGACCTTCAGCCAGAGGCCCCAGCTGATCATTCACCAAATGATCCACACTGGGGAGAGGCCCTATGAGTGTCCTGAGAGTGGGAAGAGGTTTCACACCAGATCCCATCTCCTCCAGCACCAGTGGATTCACACTGATGAGAGGCCCTTACGCTGCCCCGACTGCAGGAAGGGCTTCAAGCACAGCTCCACCCTCGTCACCCACCAGCACATCCACACTGGGGAGAGGCTCTATGACCAGACACCAATGCAGCCACCAGTAAGGGAAGTTCTGCATGTGTTCTGACTGTAGGAAGAGCTCCCTGCACTGCTCCAACTCCATCCCTCACAGGAGAACCCATGTTGCACAGAGCCCTGGTGACCCACATTCCCTGAGATCCATGTTGGGAAGACACCTGGATGGTTATCCTTTTGGTTTGGCCCTAATTTTCTTCTGATTTGTCTTTGTTGCTTAAAAACATCTGAAATAAGACTAAAAAGAAAGTAAATTATCAAAATGTCTAAAGTCCCATCATTCAACAGGTGTTTCAGGTGCAATTTATGGTTTGGAGACATATTCTGGGGGATTTCTGCATTCATGAGGGATTTCAGAAAGTGTTCTCCATATCTTTGCAATCCAAAAGTCAAGATGGATTGACCTGTCACCTCAAAATGACTCAATACCACTAAAAATACCAAAAACACAATTGTACCCCAAAAGGGCTCAATCCCACCTCAAATTGCCTTGTTCCCTCCTCAAAAATACTCAGTCCCCTGTAAAACTTACTCAGTTCCACAGCCTCCAGGGTGAGATGGGGTTGGAATGAGATTGGGACATCCAGATTTGAGGGTATGGCTTGGGGATTGTGTGGGATGTATTTTGATAGTAAATAAAACTTCCAGAATTATTGATTTCTGTCCCATTCATTTTCCGTCAGTTCCATTTCTGTTTTCAGAGTGCCACATTCTCAGTTGATTGTGTTTGTGGCCTCCTTTCTCTCCTGCCTCTCTTTGCCTGCTCTGTTTCTCTCTCAGTGTCCCCCTTGACCCAGGGCAGCTCCCACAAAGACCCTGCCCTGATTTAATTCCTCATACACAAGCTACAACAACCATGGGTGAAGTTATGAAGGCTGGCAGTGAAATGTCACTGTAAGATCTTGCTCCACTTGGCTTTTGGCACCTTCTTAAGAGTTTTGCCTTTGAGGGCAGGAACATCTTTTCCTGGCTGGGAACTGGAATTCCAGGCCCTGGGAGTGTGTGCCATGGATCCCAGAGGGGCATTCCCGAGGCTGCCAGGGTGCTGCTCCTGCCGTGCCTCCCAATGAGCTGTGCAGGGCCAGGGGACAAGGTCCAGCAGCTCTGTTGGTTCTGCAGTGCCTCAATGGCCCCTGGTTCCATGAGTTTCTGTACTGCCAGCAGCGCTTCCTTGGTTCCCATGATGCCCTGCTGTGTCACCATGGATATTTGGTGCCATGAAGTTCTTCAGTGTCACACTGGCCTACCTCGCTCCATGAGCTCCCGCAGTGTCACAGTGGCCTCCTTGGATGGGCAGTGTCACCAGGGACCATTGGCTCCATGCAGCCCCACTGGGTCACCATGGACTCCTTGGTTCCATGAGGTTCTGGGGGTGTCTCCATGGATCCACAGTGTCACAATGGACCACTGGATCCACGTGGCCCTGCTGTGTCACCATGGCCCCTTGGTTCCATGAGACCCCAGTGTCACAATTGACTCCTTGCTTTCACATACCCCCTTCAAAATGGCCCCTTCATTCCAAGAAGAACACAAAAGTTTTGTAGAAACATTGAGCAAATCCTGCTTAGCACACCTGGGAACATCTGTTTGCATTCAAAAGAGAGGTTAAAGGTGATGATGGCACCAGCAGCTTCCATCTGCAACAGAGATCCAAGGAAAGGACAGGGACAGTGAATTCAGCTGCAAGACTCAGAGAATTCTGCTTCCAGAGATCATTTCTGCTTACACTGTTTCTTGGAAACAAGAGGCCATTGTGAGCCTGTAGGTCTTGTAACACCCCAGAACACTGAAATGCTGGGGGGAACCAAAGGCTCCTTTCCTTGAGTTTGGTGCACAGGAGAAACAAGAACCAGATATTCTCAACATGGGCAGATGCAAAGAATATTCTTGGTAGGACAGGACCCACAAGGATCATCAAGTCCAGCTCTGAAGTGAATGGCCCACACAAGGATTGAACCCACTATCTCAGTTATCCAAAAACGTTCCACGTAAGTAGGATTACAAGGAGAAGAAATAGAGAACAACAGAAAGACAGACAATCGATAGATATGCATGTAAGTATCAACAGTTCTGTTTCCATTGTTACTAACAGAAGAACCCCAGCAGAAGGCAGGATCCAGACCATGGGCTGGCCTCGTGCTCCAGCCTTTAATCCCCTGGACCTTCATTGGCCCGCCCCTGGGGTGGGACTGCCAGTGGCTTGCCCAATCAGAGTCAGGGAAGGCATCAGCTGCTAGTGTGTGATTGATTGGCAGCTTAGCCAATCAGAGCTGGGTTAGCTGTGTGATTGACAGCTCTGCCAGGGTGGGGGATGTCAGTGCCAGGTGGGCCATGTCAGACATGGTGAGGCTGGGGGTGAGGAGCAGCTTGTCCAAACAGGGTCAGCCCAAAGGGGGCTCGTTCTTCTCTGTGCCAAGACCTCCTAAGGAGACATTCAGCATCAAGATCACCTGGGGAATGCTTCTATCAGCTCTTCTCTGAACTGGAACATAAAAAATACTGCATTGAGTAAACAAGAAAAGTCATGAGGTGCACTTTGAAATCTTCCTCTTTAACAGAACTTCAAACTGACTCCAATCAGCTGCACAAGCCCTGGACAATTGGAAGACAATTGAAGGAAGAGAAAGAACCCTCGAGGTCTTTCTGTATGTTAATGATCCCCACAGTGGATTTGTGGCTGAATCTAGGACCCTCAGGCACTGAGAGAAGGATGAAGAAGCTGCTCAAGGAGTCAGAAGCAAAACTCCAAGTCCCCTGGAGCATGGCTGGGCCCCAGTGAGGGCAGGAAGTGCCAAAGGCTCCCCAGGGACTGCTGAGAGCAAAGCCATTGTGACATTGCAAGACCTCATGGAATCCATGAGAACATTGTGACATTGTGGAGACTCATTAAATCAAGGGAACATAGAACAAGTCTACCTGGTTTAGCCTCCTGGGGGCTGTCTGACAGGTCCCACTGAATTTGGCATGTCAAGGGCCACTTCCCATCTGACTGTGAAGCACTAGGGCTCTGTGCTTTCATTCCTATGGAAAAGAAATGTTTTTCTTGTCTAGGTGGCCATGGCCAAAATTGGAATTCTGCCTCTAAAATTCCCTATATCCCATGCTTACTCCCAGACCAAATCTGCCAATACAGTCAAGTCTGGCTAGCCTTGGCCTCTGGTGACTGCCTCTCATCTGCCACTGCACCACTGGGGCTCAGTTCTTTCCTTCCTGTGGAGACCACTGCGACAATGCGGTGCGTTGTGGAGCCAAAGGGCATTGTTACACTGTAGGAACTTGTGGAAACAAAGGGATCATTGTGACATGTGGCCACATGAGTCCAAAAGCTCTCCTTGAGGGCTGCCCCAGGCTAGCTCTTTGGCACACGAGCCACAGTGAGGCGGGGCACTCTCCTCGGTTCCGCTTGTCAGTTGTGCAATTGTATTCCTGACATCCTTGGCCTTAGATGTCAAGTTCAGACAGGAGAGCCCCTCAAACTATTTATCAAGGGGGTCTGGGGAAAACAGAAATTGGACACAAACTGAGGCTGGCACGGAGCCGAGCAAGGTAAACTCAAGGGGTTCAGAATCTGAATGATTTAATTTGGGGAGGAGATTTCTCCAGACAAGGTTAGGGTTAATTCCAGGGGAGAGGTAACTTTCTAATGGGCAAGGAGTTTCAGGGAACTGTTGAGAGGGGGAGGAAACTCATCTAGGTTTGAAGGGATCCCCACAAGGCAGATCGACAAGGGGTCTGCTGCTGAAACGGTGGTCAAACAAAGAAGATCCTGGCCAAGGACCTTGGTGAGCGCTTTCCAGATGTGAACTTTTGGCTGGGGGATGATCCACATATCAACAGGTGGTATGGTGGACCAGATGAAAGCCAGGATGACGGTGATCCAAAGCCAGATGAGGGCCATTAGGTTTGGGTTTACTGGAAAAGAAGCAGAATCAGTGAGTACAATGCAAAAAAAGGGGGGTGGTTCTACTCCAGGTTTTTGCACAAACTTCAAGCATGAGTTGCAAGGTGGGGGGGGCGTTCTAATGGAAGGCTGAGGATGGCCACCTTACACCTGGGATTGGTGTTAGCTGATGCCATCTCAGATAAAATCTCTTGACAAGCCTCCTCACCCCAAACCTGCAACTCCACTGCCTTCCAGAGGCATTATACAAAGGTTGTAAAAGGCTCAGATGGAGACTGAAAAATTTTAGAGTATGTTAACAAGCGAGCCTCAACTTGCAAAGCGAGGAATGCCTTTTCAGCCAACTACACGGCTTCTTTTAAAGCCTCTCGAGGTTGTACTTCGGCTTGAACCTGCCCTTGTGCCCAGTTTGTCAGGCCACAAAGATGATCAATAGAGATGGGCTCTCCTTTCAAGTCTGCACCAGTCTGGGAATTCTCCCACAGAGTCGGGAGGATTTCCCTAGCTGCCTTTTTCCATACTCCCTCCAACATGGTGTACTTGGTGGGATTGAGGAGGGAGGAAAACAAATGTTTGAGATTGGCCGGGGTTACCTCTGACTCCGTGAGAGTGGCCCTTAAGATTCCCCAGAAATGTTCACTATCTCTACCAAAATCTTTTTGGGCCTTGCAAAGTTCTTTAATTACGTGGTGCAGAAACTGGGGTCCATTGGACTCGTGTCCTGCCCTCCCTCTCCAGATGGTATGAGACTGGAGCGGCTGATATTGTGGGCATTGGCTCCAGTTTCCGGTGTCCCACCTCTTGCCCCCCACAAGCCAAAGCATGGGAACCAGAAAGAGGAGGGGGGGGGGAGGAGCTAAGGGACTAGGCGGGGAGACCTGATGCCTGATGTTCCAGTTTCCACCTCAGGGATGTAACATGGAGCAGGGATTTCGGAGGAGGGACTGGCAGAGGGACAAGGGAAGGAGCAGGGGAATGGGAGGAGTCTAAATAAGAAAGGGGTTGTTTAAGTTAAAAAGATGTGGCTCAAAGTAAACGAAAGGGGCTCAGAACGCCCCAACCCTTCAACAATTGAAAGGATCTGGGGTAGAGAGACAGGGGAACAAGAAGGAAAGAAAGGGAGAGGAGACCACTTACAGTCTCAGGCACAGAATTCAACGTTGTTTTGACTCAGACCCCCTCTCAGTAAAAATGCGGTGTTAGGTGAACAAAAGTCCAAATGTGTCCTGTCAGGGGAAGACTCCTCGGGTGCAGGAGCTGCCTCCCCGAGCCTCCGTGAGTGACACCCACCAGATGGGTCTGCTCCTACTGGAGGAAGTTTCGCAGACAGGTGGTCTCAAGAGGTAGCTCCCACAGCAGGTCCAGATGCAGATCTGCAGGAGCCCAGAGTCCACTTTCCACAGGGTCCAGCGATGAACTCAGGGAGACCGACAAGGATTGCGGGGTAGGAGACAACCTGGGTAGAACCATTACACAACCACAGGGGCGAGTGAAACAAACCAACTTACAATATACAACTTAACATAACTAAGAACCTGAAAAACACAACACAACAGTAAACAATCTCCATATTGCATTCTACTTTAGCACAACACAGGCACAGCAAGAGAGGTAAGAATTATGTTTTCCTTCTTCTCTGCTTGTGTCACAGCTTTGAACATTCACATGTTCAGAAGGCATGTGAATACCACACTCAGGGAGAGAGAGAGTCCCTTTCCTGCCCCTGGCAATGACCTGAGGTGGAAGTGAATGTGATGACAGGGCCATGGCCAGACCCTCATGTTCTTCAATCCCACAACATGTCATTGGCAGGGGCAGGAAAATTAACAGATGTCTTCCCACCATGGGTCACAGGGCTCTTTCCAAAATGGGTCCTCCAATGGGGGAAGAAGCTGGAGCAGTTCATCAATCTCTTCCTGCAGTTGGGGCACTGGCAGGACATCCCTTACCGGTGACTCCTGGCTGGCCAAGTCAGAGCTCTGGGTGAAGCTCTTCCCACATGTGGGGTACTTGTAGGGCCTCTCCCCAGTGTGGATGCGCCGGTGCCTGACGAGGTGGGAGTTTTGCTTGAAGCCCTTCCCGCAGTCGGGGCAGCGGAAGGGCCTCTCATCTGTGTGAATCCGCTCATGCAGGTGGAGGTTGGAGCTGGTCTGAAACCTCTTCCCACACGTGGGGCACTCGTAGGGCCTCTCCCTGGTGTGGATGAGCCGGTGCGTGACAAGGTTGGAGTTGCGCTTGAAGCCCTTCCCACAATCAGGGCAGCAGAAGGGCCTCTTCTCTGAGTGAATCCGCTGGTGCAGGAGGAGACTGGAGCTGCTCTGAAATCTCTTCTGACACTCAGGACACTCATAGGGCCTCTCCCCGGAGTGGATGCGTTGGTGGGTCGCCAGGGTGGATCTGCAGCTGAAGCCCTTCCCACACTCCCCACATTTGTGCGACCATTCCCCGGTGTGGATCATCTGGTGGCGGATTAGGTGGGAGCTCTGCCTGAAGCTCTTCCCACACTCCAAGCACTTGTGGGGCCGCTGGTCTCCATCCCCAGATCCTTGTTGGGGGGAGGAAGGACAGAAAGAGGATGGGAATTGGCTCTGTGCCAGAGGGAAGGGGAAGGAAATTCCCCCAGTTCATCGGTGGCAGGACAGCATTGCCCGTGGTGTTGTCCTGCAGCCAGGGGCCATGCTGGTCTAGGAGATGGAGCAAAGAAAAAGGGGAAAGGGGCACTGACTTCCTCCTCACCTGCCTGCATGTCCCAGGGCATCTTCTTCACAGCCTCTTCCTCCATCTGAGAAAGATTTTGGAATGGGAATCCCCCAGTTCATCGGTGGCAGGACAGCATTGCCCGTGGTGTTGTCCTGCAGCCAGGGGCCATGCTGGTCTAGGAGATGGAGCAAAGAAAAAGGGGAAAGGGGCACTGACTTCCTCCTCACCTGCCTGCATGTCCCAGGGCATCTTTGTCTTCCTCACAACATCCTCCTCCATCTGGCAAAGGTTTTGGGATGTGAAATTCTGTTTTGGGAGGAAAACAAGAGATGAGTGCATTGAGTTTTGTACTAGTTTAAAGGCAAACCAGGAGGAGAGCCTAAGCCAGAATTACAATTTAACAAGAAAATTAAGATTGAGGCAATGATACAGAAATGCTGCCTTAAACTGACAGAATGAGGATATAACCTGGCACCCTGTTAGTCAGGGTGCAGGGCGTTATCAGGGCTGAGCCATGAAGAGATAAAGAACACTGCCCCGCCTGTTTATAACAGTTTGTGAAGATGGTGACTAAAAATATGCATTTGGTTACATCTTACACTGTAACCTGAAACAGTGGGGTAATCCCTGCTGGGGGAGTGAACACCACCCCTCTTATCCAAACTGGCTTAGGTGTAAAACCCCCACCCCAGGAAGGCCACGCACACAGGGGACAATGTCACACTTGCCCTGCCAGGGGAGGTCTCTGTCCCCTTCACTACCTTGCCCTTCCCCCTCTTCTCTCTTTTTCTCTTTCTTTCCATGTCTCTCTCTACCTCACGTTTCCTGTTCAATAAAATCCACTTTGGATTTGGTTTCCTTAGCACCTTAATTGGGGCAGAAGCATCTCTTTGACAATTTTCTTAACCAAACTGCAACATTATTTTGGCACAGTCAGTTTAGACACTGTTCTTTGCCCCCAAGTGCCTTTGACAACAGCATGGTTCCCTCCTCTGAGGAGGTTGTGGTTCTCTCTGGAGAAACTCTTGGAAACTTGGATGCAGCTTCACCTGAGCAACTTATGGGAGAACTGATGAGGAAAAAGGCTGTTGGTGGCTGGGTGACCAGTGGAAAGAAAATATTTTGTTGTCCTTCCTTGAAAAGTTTCTTAAAAACACTGGAAGAAAAGGGAGCAAATGATACCAGCAAGTCTGACAAGGTTCATTCACCCCAAAATAAGGAACACAGGGCTGCTAAAAGTCCCCTCATGAGCCCAGTGCAAGGAGCTAAATTCCTGAATAAATGCCAAATTCACAGGCTTAGGGGCTTTGCCAAATGTGAGAATCATTATTCTCTTCGTCCTTATCACCTTTGTGACAGCCCCACAGTGCTTTTTCTTCCCATTTAGTAATCTGTATTGGGCCCAATTTCCACTTTTTTTTTTTTTTTTTTTTTTTTTTGGGACCCTCCCCGCAGCGGGGCTGGAACT